TTAAGTGGCTGCTTCCACAAAGCTGTCAGCCTCAGGTTGCTGGAGTTCAAACCTCACAACTCTCCCGCTGGCCAAAAGTGCCCTGAAGGCATTCGAGGAACAAAAAAAGAAAGGAAAAGGGTAAGGCACAAAATCTCATGGTACTAAGTCCATGGATAACAGTCAACTGATTAAAAATTTTAAAAAATGGTCTTAAGGGTACTAAGTTTCACAACATGTACATTGTGAAATAGGACAAACAGACTAAAACACATAAAAAGCACAATGCATCACGCATCATTGAGCAGTCATTACATGAACCTTCGGCACTCTTTCCACGGGGCCTCCCTGGCCCCTCCACAGAGATTACCTGGCGCTGCAGTGGTCACCTGCCTTACAGCTTTGCTTTCTAGTGCGCCTCCCTGCAGACTACAGTTTCACCGTGATACAGTCATCGATGCCTGGCTCCTCACTGCCAGTACTTCTGTTAGGATATTTGAATTTATCTCCATAAGTGAAATTGACCTGGAACTTTCCTTTCTCATAATATTTTGTCAGGTTTTAGTATCAAAATTCTGCTGGCTTCTTAAAATAAGTTGGGACTATTCCTACTTTTTCTATTCTTTGGAAGAGTTTGTGGAAAATATGTGTTACTTCTTTCTTAAATATTTGGTGAATTCAACAGTAAAACCATCTGGGTCTGAAGTTTTCCTTATGGGAAAGTTTTTAATTACATATTCATATGTGGAGATATAAAACTACTCAGACTGTTATTTTTCTTATACTAGTTTGGATAAATGATGTTTTTTAAAAATCATAAAATTTCTTCTGAAATTTCAAATATATTGTGGGAAGGTTACTCATAATATTCCCTCACTATCCTGGCATTATTATGTCCCTTTTGCGTTCCTGATCTAGGTTAGTTGTGCTTTTCTTCATAATTTCACCAGGATTTATTGATTTTACTATTCCTTTGGCTCAGCTGATCATGTTTGTTTTCTATTATCTTTATTGCTTTCCTTCTACCTCTTTAAAAATTTAGTTGGTGTTCTTTTTTTAACTTATTGAAATTAATGTTGAGAATATTTGAGTTGCTCTTCTTTTCTAAAATATGTCTCCAAGCCTATACAGTGTTACATTGGCTGCATTCCACAAACGTGGGTATTTCAGATTTTCATTGTCAGTAATTTCTTTCTTTCTTTCTTTCTTTCTTTCTTTTTTTTTTTTTTTTTTTTTTGAACCGGGAATTGAACTCAGGCCCTTGCGCTTGCCAGGGAAGTGTTTATTCCACTGAGCCATCTCCCCAGCCCCTGTCAATAATTTCTAAATATTTTCTAATTATCACTGCTAGTTCTTCTTTGGTCCAGAATTGCTTAATTTCTAAACACATGGGGATTTTGGTTATCTTTTGTAACTGACTGCCAACTTACTATCACTGCGTTCAGAAAATAAAATCATTATTTCAATCCTTTGGATTGTTTTAAGAGCTGCTTTAATAACCTAGCATGTAAAAAAAACATTGGAAAACATTCAGATAATGGACACACGTTGGGACAATAATACTACGTGAAATCAATCAGGCACACAAGTTAAATATCACATAACAGGTCTTACACTAGAAACTCAAACTACAAGTAAAGAGCAAAATAAAGACAGATTGTAGGGGCCGGGGAGATGGCTCAGTAGAATAAGCACTTCCCTGGCAAGCACAAGGATCTGAGTTCAATCCTTGGTTCCACCAAAAATTAATTAATTAATTAATTAATTTTTAAAAAAGACATTGTAGAAAACAAAGGACTAGCTCTTTTGCAAAGCAGGGGACCCAGAGATGGAGGGAGATGGGAGTGGATGAAGGGGGAGGGAATAAACAAGAATTAAGACATGTTATGGACACCTTCCAACTCCCCACAAGGAACCTGATCAGTAGGTTCTATAAACATGCACTAATAAAAATTAAAATTGAAGAAAACAAGAGAATGCATATTCTGCATTTGTTGAGTGCAAGGTTTTATAATTAAATGGTATCTGACAATTAACATTGTTTGCACTGTCTACATCCTTTCTGGTTTTTATTGTCTGCTGGTTGTATCAATTACTAAGAGAGATGTGTTAAAATTCATAATTCTAGGGATACATCTAATTCTCTTTGTATGCCTCATAGTTCATGTGTAGTAAGTGAATTGATTCCTTCTTATTATGTCTAATTTTTTATGTCTAACAGCATTTCTCTTCAAGTCTATTTCATTTGGTATCAATAGACACACGCAAGCATTTTTTAGGTTCATTTGTCATGGTACATATTATTATATCCTTTTATATCTGGCCTTTCCATATCTTTATAAGTCATTACGTCTGCTTAAAGTAGTGCATAAGATTTTTTAAAATCCAACTATTTATATCTTTGGACTTTTATTTTTTTTTTCAAAGTTTTATTGACAAACAGATAGCAATGAGACAGTTTCAAATCATATCGGAAGGACAGTTTAAAGTGAAGAACACCTTTTTTTTTTTTTTTTTTGGTGGAACCAGGGATTGAACTCAGACCCTTGTACTATGCCAGACAAACACTTACTCTGCTGAGCCATCTCCCAGGCCCCCCAAAAGCATGGTAAATCCCATTTTTTTTTTTTTTTTTTTTTTTTTTTTTTTTTTTTTTTGCGGAACTGGGGATTGAACTCAGATCCTTGCGTTTGCCAGTCAAGCGCTTATCCTA